AAGCAATTTAGATAACTGGCTGCAGCCTTCCTGTCCAACCTTATCTTCGCACTCCCCTTGGCAAACAAAGCACTACAAGTCACTCTTCTTTTCCTCTGACCCCACCAAGATTAGCCACACTCCCCTAACCTGCCCATGGCCCATACTTATCTTCCAATATCCTTTCTTTAATAAGCCTTCAAAATAAGGTATTTCCATGATAAAGAGCACCTAAAATAATTCATAACCACCAATCCAACACTACAAAAAAAATTCTCGAAGATAGTCAAGAAAGAAACAATAAATGAATACACCAGAAAGGGGTGAACAGTTAAGCAAAAGGGTGGGGGTGGGGGGAAATCAAAATTATAAAGATCAAAATTATAAAGATCAGCAGAAATTAATAAAATTAATACAAAGAATATAAGCAAAAAATGCAAAGAATCAATGAAGAGCTGGTTCATTGAAAGAATAAATATAATACAATAGAAAATAATGCAATGACAAGAATAACTCAATACCTCTCAGTAATAATAACTCTCAATGTAAATGGTCTCAACTCCTTAATCAAGAAACAGAGACTGGACCAGGGATTTAGCTCAGTGGTTTCGCTGCCTGCTGCGCAAGCACAAGGACCCGAGTTCGATCCCTGGTACCAAAAAAACAAAACAAAACAAAGAAACAGAGACTGGCAGAATGGACCAAGAAACAAAACATATGCACCAAACACTGGTGCACCTAACTTCATAAAACAAATACTAATGGATATAAAAGATCAAATAAACACCAACACAATTATAGTAGGGGACCTCAATATCCCATGGTCACAGATAGATCAAATAGACAAAAAAAAAAAAAATCAACAAAGAAATATCAGAGTTGAACCAAACCTTCAAACAAATGATATCTAAGGAGTGTTCCAAACAACAACAATAGAATACACATTCAGTAGCACATGAGACTTCTCCAAAATAGATCACATGCTAACCCTAAAAGCATGCTTAAGTAAATGCAAAAGAATCAAATTTGTCCCATGAATATTATCAGATCATAATGCAATGAAATGAAATCAAGAGCAAAAGAATCCCTAGAAATTATGCAAACACATGAAAATTAAACAATAACCACTTGAACAATCAATGGATAACAGAAGAAATTAAGGAAGAAATTAGTTCCTAGAATCAAATTATCATGCCACAATAACATACCAGAATCTATAGGACACAATGAAAGCAGTCCTAAGAGGGCAGCATGTGGTGGTGCACGCCTGTAATCCCAGCACTTGGGAGGCGGAGGCTGGAGTTCGAGGAAAGCCTGGACTATGTACTGAGTTCAAGGCCAGCCTGAACTACACAGGGAGACCCTGGCCCCACAAAAAAGAAAGAGAATAAAATAATAACAACAAATGCTGGCGAGGCTGCAAGGAAAAAGGATCCCTTCTACATTGTTAGTGGGAAATCAGTATAAAGACTCTTCACAAAATTAATACTAGAAATTCCATTCAACCCAGGTATTCCCCTTTTAGTTATCTTCTCAGAAGAGTTAAAGACATCATAGTACAGTGATACATGCATACTCATGTTTATAGCAGCACAATTTGTAAGAGCTAAATCTTGGAAGTGGCCTATATGTCCATCAACACATGAATGGATAAAGAAAATGTGGTATTTGTACATAACAGAGCACTACTCTGCATGAAGAAGGAAAACAAATCATTTGTACAAAAATGGAGAGAATAATGTTAAGTGAAATAAATCAGGCACACAAGCGTAAATATCACATGGGTTCTCTTATACAAGAAACCCAGAGCAAAATAAAAGGTAGATAGCAAGAAATAGGGAGATAGATCTTTTTCAGGTAGGAAGAGGATGAAGAGATGGAGGGGAGAGGGGAAGGGAATGAAAAAATTATTAAGATGTGTTATGTACATGTACCAACTCCCTACGAGGATTATGATCGTTATGTACTGCAAACATGTGCTAATAAAAAATAAAAACTGAAAGCGCAAGGTCCTGAGTTCAATCCCTGGTACCAAAAAAAAAAAAAAATTGATTACAAAAAAGCCTGTCCTCTTTTTTTTAATCCTTATCACAATCAATCACCAGGTCCTGTCAATTTCACTTCCAGAATCTACCCAGTGCTCTTCACAGTTCATCTGGTATAGAGCCTCCATGTTCTACCTACCCTCTTGCTTCTTAGTCTTTGCCCAAGCCATTCACCTTGATGACACAGGTCTAAATTTAAACCATAGCCATTCCCAAGACTGAGGGTTCTTCCATGGTCCACAAGCCAGGTCAGAGACCTTTGTAATTAATGCCCACTGGATCCTATGTTTCCTCTATCACAAACACATTATATTTGTGATTTTTGTTTCATTATCTGTCTTCCCTAGTAGACAGTAAGCTCCTTACCAACAGCACCACATTGGTCTTGCTGCAGAGTCCAGCACAACCCTTGACACGCTGGAGATGGATAAGTGCAGGCATCATCACTTCAGTTCATAGAATCTTCCCTTCCTGTCAATGCTTAAAGCACGTTCTGCTGTTACAAGGAACGGCTGAACACACAGTACCCCTCACCCCGAGATAAGCACGCATTCCCACGGCACCCAGGAGATGTCCTTGAAAGCAAGGAACATCCTTTCCTTGGAAATTACATGGAATTGAGAATCTTCCAGACCTATTCTGGTACGAGAAAAGAGGCTACCTTCTCAGAAGTGGTCAAGGGGTAGAATGTTAGGAATGAGATAAAAAGGAAGTGTGACAGAAGTGTGTACAGACAGTAGCCTGCAGTCTTCAGCAGCTCCTATTGAAGCTGGTAACTTCCCAGCCTAAGGGTTCTGATGGATTCTCCTAGATCTTCTAACCATAGCCAGGCTCTAGGTGTCTTGAAGGAGACTGAAGGTAATTCTGATCTCCAGGATTCTATAAACATAGTTATTCTGAGCTGCAATTCAAGGGATTTGCTGCTGTCTTTACATAGCAGTTCTTCTCAATCCGGGAGACAAGATAATCTTTACCTTCTACTCTCTCCCTCAGCTGTAGGCTATTTTTTATCCAAGATGGTTGGAACCAGAAATATTTCAGATTTGAGTTTTTCCTAATTTTGGAGTATTAGCATAGACCAGTGAAAGCAAACCTTTTAGAGCTTTCAATGATAATAAACAGCCTGCTGTGGTATGCATGTCACAGAGTCGCCAGCACTGGCATAGACCTTACCAGTTGAGCAAGACAAATCCAAGAACTCCAAATCTGAAAATCTTTTTAAGTGCCAACATAATGCTCCCAAAGTTTTGGATGTCAGAACATTTCGAGTGAGGGATGCTCAACCTATAGTATAAAGGTCAGAGCCAGAAGTGGTGGTGCACACCTGAATCCCAGCACTTTGGGAGGCTGAGGCAAGAGGATCACAACTTCGAGCCCAGCCCAAGCAATTCAGCAAGATCCTATCTCAAAATTAAAAGAGGAGTCTGGGATATAGCTCAGGGCTAAAGCCCTAGGTTGGATTTCTAGCACACCCCCACCAGAGTCAGCACTCCAACCCGAGAGTTCGGTCATCATGTTCCATGGACCACAAGCACCAAAAAAACTTAGCAAGCATCTCTGGCAAGGGCAGAGGTTTGACTTGACAGAACATAACACCACACAAAGGCAGCAAAGATTATGAAGCCTGGGCACGCTAGGGTGACAACCTGGCTCTCTACTCCCAGCAATGTGACTTTGGGCAGTGATTTTACTTCTTTGAGTCTCAGTATCTTAATCTGTAAAATGGTGGTGATGGTCTACCTCTCAGTATTAGTGAGATATGCATGTAAACCTTTCAGCACAGAGTAAACATCTAAGGAATGTCAATATTATCACAAGCATACATTCCTAGTAGGATAATGATTCTATGGTGAAAATACTACAGAGATGAAATGATGTTTTGAATTTGCTTCAAAATAATCCAGGGGGGCTGGGGATTTGGCTCAGTGGTTTCGCAGCTTGCTGCACAAGCACAAGGACCTGAATTCGATCCTCAGTACCAAAAAAACAAAACAAAACAAAACAAAATAATCTAGGGGATGAGAAACAGAGTATAGAGGAAATAAAATTACAAATACATTGGATTTATTACTGTACTTCTCTGTTTTTGAACCTTTAAATTTTTTCCCTAATGAAAAGTTCAAGGGATGAGGATTTAGCTCAGTGGTTTCGCCGCCTGCTGTGTAAGCGCAAAGACCCGAGTTCGATCCCCGGTAACAAAAAAAAAAATTCAAAAGGGTAAGTACTGAGGGAGAGAAATGCTGTAAAAATATAAATACTGATCATTTATTTTAAGAATATATTTGGTCTAAGTGTTGAGCAGAAAAAAAATGATGTAAAGGGAAAAAAGTCCCTTCTCAAACAGAAAATATTTTCTTCAGATAAAACTGTCTCAGATGAGCCACTTGTGCACATTTCTTGCCTCCATTTTTGGGAAAAGAACATGTCCTGCTTAGGCAGCACATGCATCTTTAAGTAAACAAGTCCTGGTGACAAACCTGGCTCTCAGCACTGAGCCATGGAGCAAGAAAGTTCCCAGGTTAGGAAAGAGCAGAACGGACTCAAAATGTTCAGGGACAATGAGCATCACTACCTTCCTCTCTTCTAGAACTCAGTTTTAGACTCTCACTTAAGGCTTCCCTGGGAAGCTGCTCTGCTCTCCCTGAGACTATATTAAGTATTCTCATGCCAGGTGAGTGGTCTGATCATAGCACTGCCAATGTGTTAGATGATGCTTCAGGGGAAAGGGAACGTGTAAGAGGCTCTAACCATATTGACCACAGCAGATCCCTGCATCATCTCTCCTCTTCCACATCTTCCTACTTAGACAAGGCTGGAAAATGAACAACAAAATTCTTCTCACATTTCACTTTGAATCAACCAACCCACTCCAAGCCCATCTAGCTGACAGAAAATGTCCAGCAAGCTTTGTTTTAAGCAAATGCCTTCAAGGTCCCAAAATCTGCCTAGACAAGGAGAATAAACAAAAGCACTTACTCTTCTTGAAGAATGAATTCGCTATTTTCTGGAGAAAATTGCCCAGTCACAGGATGCCTGAATGCTGTGGTCTGCTGGTTATGGCTAGAGAGGCAGAGAGAAGATAAATAAGAAGTCATGTGAATGGAAAGGATTAAAGTCACAGCAACAGGTCAGTAATGTCTGAGGACCTCTGGTCATCACAGATTCTTCACAGGGTGAGAAAAGTGAGCCTTTCTTCTGGGATGCATTTAATCTATTAGAAGCCAGTTAAATTGGAAAACTAAGAATTTCCAGCTCAGGTGTCACAATTCACCTAAAAACGGAGATGTTAATTCTAAGTAAGTCTTGGCTTCAAGAGAACACAATATGTTAGAAAACATTTCATGAAATACTGTTATTTACTCCAATGCACTGAAGTGTTATCTAAAATTTACTTCAAGATAACTCGAGCTGAAGCAGAGGACACTTTCAAAAGCTTCCAAAACCTGTGAACCAGGGAAAGAATTCTAAGAATTAATCACCCACCCAGCAAATTCTATCTTCTTAAAATTCTTCCCCCTACTATAAAATGTCTTCAGCTCAATGATAGAATCATAAACGTATGGGTATGTCTGCAACTTGAGCCACACAATTTCAACGCCATGGGGTTTCTATCACTCTTTTGAACTTAGGAGGGATCAGCTTCCACAGCAAGCTGACAGGAACAACCAAAGTGTGTAGGTGTTTTGTACGTCGACAAAGGCTGCCTGGTTCTTTCAAAAGATAGAGGACCTGGCTCTGGAGGCTGCTGGTTTGTTCCACAAATAAACTTTACTAACCTACTTTTTAAAAATAAGAACTTGATTTATTGAAAAAAAATTTACTAATCAAAAATCATAGTTGTTTTCCAAATTTTATAAAATCTGAAAAATGTCACCTATAATATCATCATCTGGACATATACTTGGGTATTGCCTCCCTGTCCCCTACCCCCAACCCTGCCTTTCTATATATTTCCAGCTACTTGGGAAGCTGAGACAGAAGGATTGCAAGTTGGAGGCCATGGTGGGCAACTTAGTGACATCTTGTCTCAAATGATGTAGCTATGGGTTTGATCCTAATCCACCAAAAAAAAAAGTTATTTTACCGTATATAAAAATACTTTGCTTCCCCTGCCCACATTTTATTAATGTAGAAAATATCCTACATCATTAATACTTCTTCATTGGAAATAGCTAAATAATCCTATCATATAGATGTAAATCTTTCTTCTGTATAACTTTAAAATGTGTCACAGGGCACCTATGTGCCCACTTACTACTGTGGGTGCTGGAAACAAAATAATCCTTACCCTATGATGTTGTCATTTTAGATATACATTCTTCTAATGCTGGGTGTTTTAGTTGCTCCCTATCACCACTATTATATCCAATACACCTTTGTGCATAGGCTTTTATCTGGAATTCAAATTACTGCCTTAAAGTCCCAGAGGTGAAATTTCTGAATCAAAGGGCATGGTCATTTTTTAAAACTCTTAATACAGAGAGCTAAAATACTTCCACTGTCAGAGATCATCTCAGTTTAGTGACGTTAAGATATTAGCTCCATCTCCGAACTGAGCATGGACCCTCCCTGGAGATTATTTTCAAGCCAGCAAAAAACAAAGAATGAAATAGAAAAACTCTCAAGGCCTATGTAGTTTTCCCGACTCTGCCCTAGTGCCCAGGGGCCAGGCTGGCCACTGGGGGTTACAGTGGCCAAGATCCCAACAAGACAAACATTAACAACATCAGGCCAAGCTGCTCCCTGGCCTACCACTGTGCAACACGCCTAACACCCATCCCAATCACAGCCAGCTCTCAATTCCTGGTTCCTGCTCCTGGTGAGCCTGTAGAATCCTATGACCTCATCTGGCAGGCAGCAGCTTGATTCTCTGCCCAAAAAGAGCAGAGTTTGGGTGTGAGCTTCTGCAAGAAGGATAAGAAACAGGCACCTTTTAACACCTGTTTCAGAAACTCTTGCATTGCATTCAAAGACTTTATTTGTACGCAGCTTCTTCTAGAGAGTCATCTCCACTCATCAGCAAATTTGAAGATGTACATTCTAATCTAAGCCTGCCTCATTTCCACCTGGAGGAAAAAAAATGCCTGCTCATAATGTCAACAACAATAAATCAGTAACACTGTCTACTATTACCACTAAAGGTAAGCATTTTTTTACACATTAACCCTATTTTATGAATGAGGAAACTGGGTTCAGAGAAGTGACTTGTACAAGATAACTTCATTGATAAGACTGGCACATGAATCCAGGTCCTCTATTTCTAAATTCTATGCTTTTTGCATGATAACCCACTCTGCCCTTCCCTTAGGAGTCTGAGGCTGTCAAGTTCCTGGCCCTCAGCAGAAAGCACTCAAGAAAAAGAATCAGAAAAATAGCACAATCTCTTTCCAGCCCTCCTCTCTCTCTCTTGCTAACTCCCTTTCCCCTCGAGTCCAGGGCCAAAGTTCTGAGTAACAATATTTGTGTGCACTCAATAGACCCTTGTAGCACCTGTCCTACCACAAGATCAGCTGGTGGATCTCTGGTGAGAGCACAAAACACATCTTTTCTATGTCCGTGAAGCAGATACAGCAGCCAGTAGTCACCTTTTCCTACACACTACGCAACCTTAACAACCCTTGGGCTTCCCACCCAAACGGTATGCCAGCTTAAAGAAGCCCAAAGTCTTGGCTAAAAGAATCCTAAGCTTAAAGTGTAAACTTTAACCATAAACTACACTTTGATTTCTAACATCAGAAGAAGATTGTTGGTTTTTTGGTTTTTTTGAGACTGAATCTTGCTACGTAGTTCAGGCTGTCCTTTAGCTCACTATGTAGCCCAGGCTGGCCTCATACTCGGAGCAATTCTCTAGCCTCAGCCTCCCAAATGCTGTAATTACAGCTGTGTGCCACCATGCCCACCTATTAATTTTTAAAAGTTGACAAAAATAGCTGCCATTTTACCAGGCCCTAATATAGATGCTGCCCTCCGTGGCAACCATTTCCAGCCATAGCAGCATCACCACTATCTTCCGCATCCACACAAGGTTTTCATCACACTCACATTCATCATCTTATTCGACCCTACTCAACGAGGTAGGCAGGACAAGTATTTCTATTCCCATGATACAAATAAGGAAAACAAGGCTCCAGGTTATTTAATGTTATTGGAGCACTAAATCTAAAAAAGAGAGTTTTAGAAAAGATTCATACATTGAGGGGGAAAAAATTAAGCAGAGTAATGCCTCTCGAATACTGAGGTTTTAAAATGTGATTATTTTTTATCAAATGCACCCACTTTGCTAATGACAGAGCTTCTAATTCAGCATTCTCTAAGCAAAAGGACATGAGTTAGGTACCTGGGTTATTCCATTCAACCTCCCCCAATAGCTGGTAAGGCTGGTTGTGTATCATCACAGGCCACGAATGAGAAAAGTCCACAAGGGTAGACAATTTGCCCACAGTCACAGTCAACTCCTGTGTTCCCCACACACTACCCTCTCTGACCTCTTTCCATTCCTCCAGGTACATCCTTACCAAATAAAGCTTGCCTGTTGAAGCCTCCAAGTCCTGTCTTTACTTGCTGTCCCTGTCCCCTCAGCCCAAAAGCCCCCAGTCTTCTCCATTTCCTGATTCTAAAAGCCCATGAAGAATGTCAGGTCCTATCACTCTGTCAAGAAACATTTAACAGGCACAGGCACATTCCCTGAAATACCTGTTCTTGAACCTGACTAGCCACCTAGCTCCTTAGGAGCAAAGATGGCCCCACCGGAAGCCACCAGGAGGCTGGTATCTAGAGAGCACAGAAACTCTTCCTCCTCCACAGAAGAGCTTCTGTTTCTCTTCAGTCTACTGACAAAGCAATTTGGCAAATTAAGTAAAACACAATCTAGCTTTTGTTTTCAAATCCCACTCTTCCTCCCAGAAATGGTCCTTCACAGAGCCCAGGCAGCCAGTCTCACATGCAGGAGTATCTGGGAGCATGGCTGGGAGGTGGCAGGGGAGGCAGGTAAATATCCAGGTAAGTAAGCATCCAGGTAAGTAAGCACGCCTTCACAAGCCCAGGGCTGGGAAGGACTGGGCTAGGCCCTGCAGTAAGCCAGCAGCAAGCACAAGAGACCTGGTCACAGAATAAAGTAAGGGCTGGGGTGAACTGGAGACCATTTGAGCCCAACATAAGAGCTCACCTACCCCCACAGACAGGGCTAGTGTAGACGTAAATGAGCCCTCCAGATTCTTACAGTGTTTTTGCAAGATTAATCTTCCAGTCATATAGATTCTGACTCTAATCTCAGCAGTGACTTTGGCTGATAAAACATAAAGGTTCCAATTAGTACTATGATTTTTTTTTTCGTGGGGGCAAGAAGTTCTGGAGTTATGTGAAGGATGATCAACAATGGAGGTCTGAGTACCCTGATAAGCCTGGATTTCTGACAGTGGTGGTACTGGTATGCTGCAAGTGTGACAATTCTCCTCTGTCAGCACTAGCTCTTATCTGACCCAGGGTTTAAAATGTAAGAAAAGTATCCGGCCTACAAAGTCAGAAGAAGGGCTCCATCAAAGATCTTCTCACTGGTATGCTCAGCAGCACTTGCCCTCCTAAACCTCAATGTGGTTCCCAGGACACTGTAAAAGATTTGCCCTGCAGGCTGAAGCCACAGTCAGCAATGCCTCTAGGCTTGTTAAGGCACTTACCATCTTTTTTCTAAATCCCAGGATCTCAAGAAAACTGAGCATTCTGGGTAACCTAATAATGCTTCCAGTAAGGCTCCAAACTGGGAAACTGAAACTCCAAGAACACAGACAACTGCCTCTTTCTCTTCTTCAGCTCTCTTTTGGTCCCCTCAATGAAGAGGTAGCAATCAAGAGTCAAAACAGTATCTCCACATTCCCTCAATACCTCTTAAGCTTCTTTTGGTTTATTTTACTTAACACTTTTACAAAATTGCTCATTTAGTGGAAAACATCACCACTGTTAATGCAGAGTTTCTAAGGAGGCTGAGAATCTCACTAAAACAGTCTTTCAAGTTTGTGCTGTTTTGAAAACGTCAACATTTATAACAGCTTGTGGCACATGGGCAA